AATAAGCCCAAGTATTTTCAGCACTGCCACAAGGAAATTACAGGGGTTACATCTGAAAAGAACAAAATCAGATAGATGAAAGAAGTGATCCAAAACACATCAAATACAATTTAGGCTGTGAAAACCCAGGCAGCTTGTCCTTGTTCACATTTGTAAGACTCTCATGGCTGACAAGAAACCAAGTAGAGTAAGAGACTGGTGTTTTGAATTTCTGGCTTAAGCATGGCCTCAATTTTGACAACAAATATGTAAAAAAGAAAATTGAGAGCATTAAAATATGAAAGTCAACCTAAAGGGAATACCTTATGCTGAAACTGGTTTTAAAAGGTAATGGGCAGATCACAGAAAATGACCACCATACACATAGAACTTAAATTAAACCAAATATTTTAATACACTTTATTTCTGCTTAAAATAACCCTTTTGGCCTAATTTTCTGCAGTTGATAAAATCTTATAGAATGGCACCCACTTAAGTAACTTTCTTTATTAATCAGAAATATCTCCCAAGCAGATGGAACTGTCAATTTGTGAAAATACTTTTGCATCCGGATGATTTATTCAATTCCCCTCATTAACATTATCTAAATTTCTTGTTAGGCATAAGTCATTCAACTGCTTAACATTAAAGTCTAAAATGTTTTAAAACCCTTGGAGAAAGGGATCTTACTGGCATTTGGAAAATAAAACTGTGCAAGTATAAAAGGCAATAAAAATATTTTGAAAACAGTATGTTCAGAAACAGAATTCTAACTCAGTTAGTTGTAAGACCATATGCCTGATCTGACAGAACAAAAACTTTTGTCTACAGGAATCATGGGCTGACAAAGCTACTTTTCTAGCCGCTTTTTTTTTTCTTTTTTTTCTTTTTTTTTTCCAATTAATTAACTATGTAGTGCAGCAGTTTGCAGTACTTAAATGTTTAGATGGAGGCCACAGGAGGTTTAGATCTAACTGAACTGAACACCGTCAAGTGTTCAGCAAGTCGGATACTAAAAGACAGAACAGGAAAAATACTTTCACTATGACTATTACTTTTCTGAACGGAATTAATTGCACCTAAGTAGTTTATAGAAAAACTAAATACACTCAAAATGTCCTCTGGGCTCACATTGCCACTACAGGCTCTGCCTTCCTCAGGCTCCACAAGGAAGCAGTTCTCCAATCTGGATTCTAAATTCTTTCTCTAGGCAAATCTTCCACATGGCAGCCAGCTACATATAGCTCCTTTATAGCTACGTATAGCTGCTTTATAGCTACGTATAGCTTCTTGAGCACTACCTATCATTCTTTCTATGCCTTTCACATACACTACAGGTCCTGGCATAAAACTAATTCTCTACATAAAGATTAGAAAGACGCATTACCAGACTAGGAGTATTTGCCTTTTCCTTAAGATTAAATGGAATGTGAACTGATTCAAGAACCACTGAAAAGAAATTTCAGTGGTTCTACTATCTGTAGGTTTTTATAAAGGCAGGTTCAAGCTCTCATCTTAGTGGTACAGATGACAGAATTCCTGTGAAGTCTATGAAGTAATAGAGTTTTTATTTCTACAGTTTTAAAAGAAAAAGACATAGGTAAAGGATAACTGGATGGATGGTAGATAAAAAGAGAATATTTGGATAACAATCCAGCGTTAGGATTAGCATGCACTAGTGACATCCTTGACATTTATGTAAATATTTGCACTTAATTTTAGATGAAATAAGCTAAAACTTTTTCCAAAGACTTGAAGTTTGTTATCTCATTTTATTTACTTTTTTATATTAAGTTATGGCATGGGAAAAGCCCAAGAGGTTTTCTTTGCAGTATTTCTGATTCAATTAAGAGCACGAACCAATTAAAAACTCACATATGGTTTCCCATGAACTTTTAGACTCAAGTGTTGGATAAATTTAGATTTTCAATAGCAGCAAATTTGATTTCTAAATGTTCTGGCCAAGTTTTTCTTTTTTTTTTTTTTTTTTCCTAAACAGATGCCTATAGGTAGGATGGTGTGTCCATATTTAGGCAACACAGATGAAAAGTCTACTTTTCAAAAGTTCTGTGCAACCAAGTACACACAGTAAATCAGTAAATCCACATAAGCAGCTGCAGTTTAACTTCCTTTACATCAGACAGTTCCTCTAAAGATCAGACTAAGCCCTTTTGCAGAGGTTACATGGGCAACACTATGTTCCTGCTTCTTATGATCACATACATTGAAGTTGTGTATAGACTTGATAGCAATGCAAAGATTTAGATTTAAAACCACAAGTTTGGCAAAATCCGTGATCAAGATTTGTAAAAACATAATCAGGGTTACTCACAACATTTATTAAGCTAGTTTAAAAGGGAAACTATCCTTTCTTATTGAGATGCCATTACTTAATCACGAGGAACTTCCAGCTGTCATTCTACTCCCACGTTAGTATGAAAAACAGAACAGAACATCACTAGTGAAAGCATTCAGTTAGACTGAGCTGGTCGTTATTAAAACACAGATACAAAATAAGCCCCGAATGTACGTGTGTACAAAGACACACTTTTCTCAGAAAGAGTGAAACAGGTCAGACATGAAAGGTCTAAGGTTTTTTTTTTTGTTATTGGTGGAAAGTTCACTTTATTGTAGTATTATTCGGCCTGTTTTTTTTGCTGCTGAAGAACTGGAGATCTAAGCCACCATTAAAATACTTCTGGAAGCTTCTAAGCTCACTGACATGGGTTGAGCCAGTATACATTAAAGACGTGCAGAACGAGGCAGTATACTTTTGTAGTGCCACAAGGAGGCTTGCTTTTGACAACCAATGTCACTTCTTGCATTAGGCTAATTCATTGCTTCTCTTTCCCATGTAATATTTAGAGCAAGAAAAGAATTTTCCAGGTATGGAGCATGGATTTATTAATCATTGCCATACTGCAGAGTCTACAGACTAGTATGAACGCTGAGATTGGACAACCCTCATTTTTTTCCAAGTTAAGTCAACCCTATTCTGGAAATGAACAACAAAGTACTACAGCATGTATCTGCTAGTGGATTCTTAAACTTGTATGGCATAACTGAACTGAAGCAACAGAATATAATAAATACAAGAGTGATTCTTTAAGAATATGTAGCATATCTAGCTTCTGGGCCTATGATATTAATGATATTATTACTATTCCTATTCACTGAGCCTTGATATTGGATGATGCAGTGTTTCTTCGCTTAGTAAGTAACAGACATGGTCCATGAAAGACATGGAAAGACAGAATTTGCTTTCTTACCTCAATGTGATGCATGTTACAACAGTTCTTCAAAAGGCATATGTTAACACTTTCACTGTAGCTTTATAAGCTTATATATATTTTTTTTTTTCAAATGGTTGCAAAATCTTCTGATGAAAACACAGGCAAGCCATATACACCTTTTTTTGGTGGTGGTATCTTTCTAAAGACAGACTGCATATCTCTGTGTTGTCTATGAAACATAAAATCTGAAGGGTCTTCTTTGAAAGATGGTAAACATACATGCCTCTGTTTTCAAACCCTTCAGTCTCATTTCTAGTTTTGTTTGTCAAAAATATACAGTCCAGTCTGTGAGATCTCCAGAACCTTTTGCTATTGAGTGGAAATGAATGACTTTCTGATAATGCTAAGTTTTTCTTTATCCTAGGCTTAGTCTTGTCATTCAGATGGGTAACTTAGAGCCAAACAGCACCTCATAAAAGAAGAAAGTCTACCCAGTTTTACAACTGTGAATAGTATAACTGCAACTTGGCCCCTAGAAGGGTCATCCTTACTATCTTTTATGAGATACTAATGGCACTTTTAGGACAAGGACTTGTCCTAAAGTCCTAAACAAGGACTAAACAAAATACACTTTCAATGGGGAAAAGCCCAAACTGAAGAAGCATAATTTTGGCATTAATTATGCATAAGGGCATCCAGCCCTGAGAAAGAAACTGACTGGGTCTCAAGAACTCCAAGTCTCATTCTCAACTCTGCTCAGGGTTTCACATCAACTTTCAAGTCAATAACTGCATCTCTGCAGTAAAGTTGATAATTAAGTTGCACTCTGTAAATTACAAGGTATGTAAATGATACACATTATTACTTCAGCATATATTCTCCAGAAATGTTTTTTCTCTATCTTACTACCAGTATTTTTTTCCTTTTTCAAGCTAATGTGACTATTTTCTTAAGATTAAATACCAAAAATATATATATATATAGAAAGGAGAAGGAGTGTTGTTTAAATTTGTCTGTGAAACAAACAGAGTTTTATTAGGTTTGCTTCCTGGCTGTAGAACAAATTCTTCTAGGAACCAAGGGACATCACAAGCCTCAGAAGCCTCTATATTTTCTGGCAGGTATTGGTCATGCCCTTGATTAAACAAATCAGCTAATGTGACTAGCTAATGTGACTATTTTCTTAAGATTAAATACCAAAAAAAAAAAAAAAAAAATAAAAAGGAGAAGGAGTGTTTTCTGTGAAACAAACAAGAGTTTTATTAGGTTTGCTTCCTGGCTGTAGAACAAATTCTTCTAGGAACCAAGGGACATCACAAGCCTCAGAAGCCTCTATATTTTCTGGCAGGTATTGGTCATGCCCTTGATTAAACAAATTTTCAAAAGTGCTTAAATTCTTCAATCATGAGGGCAGTAGAAGACAAGCTACTAACGAAGCTAAACTGCTTAACTGCTATGGACTTCTTTTTTAAAAAAATCTTTGTATGCCTGACAAGAAAAAAAAATGGGGACGAGACCTAGCATTTACTAAGTATTTACTATGAAAAAAAAAATGCTTAAAGTGATTTTTGTAGCAAGTATGAAGTTAATTTCTTCTACCATACATGTGAAAAACCAAACCCTATACATTTAGCAAAAGTAAAAAAACTTCCAACTCTCAAAAAGTTTGATGCCAATTTGAGTTTATTACAGAAGAGACCATACGTTATAACCTAAACAAAAAAAATCCAGAATTTCCCCAGTATATCTAGTTTTAAATTCCTTATAGTTTTTCCTCCAAATAAATACAGCAAGAGAGAGCTGAAAGTAGACACAAATTGTAATATCATTTTTGGGCAACCTATTCAAAAATAAATCTTCATCATAAATTATTACCTAATGTTTATTTAAGAAAGAATTTTAGAGTAAAGTGAATGTCATTTAACACATTTTGGTTTTGTGTTGGAATAGGATCAGGAATCTCATTTTGATAAATCTGAAAAGCTAAAATACATGCTTGTGTATAAGCATATTATTGCTTCAACATTTTCTTCTATACAAATTTAGTCATTACTTATGGCAACGTAATTGGCGGGAAAGATGCCAGTTTGTCCTCCTATTGTTCCTTCCCACCAATCAAACTGTGAATTTGTTTTGGTTGTGACTGTGATTTTGTCTCCAGCTTTGAAAGACAGGTCACCTGGCTGTTGTCCTTCGAATGAATAAAGAGCTGTCACTTCCACTGGACTGCTGCAAGAATTACCTGAAATAAAAAACAACAAAAAAAGAAAATTATAGACCTTCATGTACACTAAGTTATTAAATACAAGGATATTTTCTAATCAAGAGTAAAGATCAGGGACAAAGGTACCAAAATAATTTATCTGAGTAAATAAAGTGCAGACAGAAAAAAAACTGTCCTCCACTACATTTTGGATAAGTTTGATCTAGTAGCACTCTTCTGAAAATAAAGATGGACAATTTTCTCTGCATGCCTCAGATTGTTCTGGTGGAGACAGTGCAAACCATTTCTCATGTTTTTCTTCATTATTCTATACTATACCATGTCATATGTAATATACCACGGATGAGGAAGCATGACCTTTTCTATATGCACTGTGATAACGTCAAAATTTAAAACATTTGTTTTAAACAAAATGGTTATAATCACACATCAATACTGCGGAAGGCCTATCTTGAAACCACATTTGCAGCTCACACAAGATGGTGCTACAGTACTACATACAGTATATAATACTGAGATCATTGAGATTTATGAGTATGCACACTGGAAAAAAAACAAATTACATTGTGGAAACTCCTTAATTAATGAAATTAGAATACACACACAGCACACTTCTACAAACACAGTGTCAATACAAAAATATAGAAATTTTGGTTGAAGATCTATTAGTGCAGCAGCCAGGATACATATTCAATGTTGCAATAAACATGGGAATGGCGTATGCAGGTTAACTAACTGCTCTGAGCAACATACCCTTTCACTTTTATTCATCTTTACATACCATACTGCTTGCTTTGAATATTTTGCTTAAGATCACTGTTGCAGCTTCATGACTTGATATAGTATTAACTAGAGTACCAGCCCCACAGTAAATATACACAGAAAAATAACTGCACTCTATCCATAACAGAATAAAAGTATTCTCCATCAAGTTGCTATAGAACAGATACACTGGATACATTTATGCTAACAGACTGAACAGTGTCAGAGTCTTTTTTTGACTTTGAGTTCCATGGGGAGAGATTAGTTGCCTACGTGCTAGTAGACTCTCACCACCAAGACAGGAGAGCCATATCCAAACTATATTGTGGTTTCCAGACTCCCAGACTGCATCCATAAATTACCCAGGAAAGTGCTAGATAATAGTCATGCCAAGGAACTCTCTAACAATTTAGCCATATAGGTAATTGAGCTGGGCCTCTAGAGCTTGGACCCATGCCCTCACATCATTTATATTACACACTATACCAGTAAACGTATCCAATAATTTCACATTCTAATTTATACTATGATAAAATATCTGTAAACACATAGCTTGACTCTAAGAGTGTTTTTTAAAGGAGAAGATGAATTTCATGTCACTTGGGGGTCCAGTTTTATTAAGCTTCAAAAATCAAAACCAAATTGGAAAACAGAAGAGTTGCAGTATTGCTGTGGATCCCAAATTGTTTTACTGGCAAGGATGTATGTTTTCTAGTTATTGAATCTCCAGTGTTGAAGAACTTGTAGAGAAATTATGCAAAAACTATCAAGTGATCCTTTTGTCCACTGGGACACAAAATAAAATTAAAGTGAATTTCATGTGCCTGAGGTTAGTGGTGAGATTGCTAAACATCTACTTAGCGAAATCAGATAATTGCCAGCAATTAGACAGCTAGCAGGATGTCTGTGGAACAATGATGTGTCCAGCTATATGACAGAAGCTACAAGCAAAGTAAGACAAAGTCCTTGTGCTGCCTTTGGGCTCACCTGACCCATATATTAAGAATCTTGCAGAAAAGGAGACTCACCTGGCATGGGGGACACGCCATCTGACCAGGGACACTAATGACTGATAGGGTGATACCATTGCAGATTGCCAGTATCTTAGTCACTTTGTTAGGTCTCTGTTGTGATGTGCGTCTGGCTTCTTTTGAAGCTGAGAAGTTGCAACACCAACTCTTTTGGGTTGTAACATACCATACACAAAAGTGGTTGTCCAAGAGATTTATTTTTCCCTGAAACTCAATGTTCCTCCTACCCCAAAATCCCTCAAAAATTGTGTACAATCTTTAAAATACATGGCTAAAGTTTTTGTTATTTAAAAAAAAAATCTGAACAAGCAACATGTTCATCATATTAAATTCTGCTTTCTCTGTAGTTTGTTAAAAAGTAGAGATATTGATTGGAATATTATTAATTGACACACACAATTAAAGTTATTGAATATCTATCATGACAGATGACAGAAATTGTATAAAATCTCCACCAAAAGGTGTTAGCTTACAGAAAACCTGCCATAGAGTTCTCATTGGCTAAAAGGAATCATGGAAAAATAAGTGACCAGATGAACCCTGTTTGTGCAGAAGAAATATGAGAAAAATCAGCAAACAAGGCAAATGATGGAAAACATCTAACACATCTAACAGCTCTAAGTAAACATAAACACCTATTCTTTTAAAAGTAAATATATCAAATATCGAAAAGGTTCATTGTCACTAGCATAGTGTTCACACAGATTGGAAACCCTGCATACTGCTCGCAAGTTTAGGATGAGAGTTGAAGCTAATAGTAGGCAGACACAAATCTTATTTTTTTCCCTGTTATGGTTCACTGTGCTTTTTTAGGACAGGATTAGTATTGAGTTTAGAATTAGAGTTCAGGAAAGAATTCAAAGCGAAGAGCTAGATTAACTGCTGGGTCCTGAACACCCCTGAGTAAAGTATGGAGCCAGCAATTACAAAGGGTGTACAGAAAGTTTTTGTGGGGGTGTTTGCACATACACCTTTAGCAAGCGTCCTGGACAACACCACCTGCGATAAGAATGTGAGTGCGAGTGTGGCTTATGCATGGATTGAATACATATAGCTACCTGATTTGCCCCAAACTGTCAGGATGGAAGGAAGATGGCCCCTGGTGAGGCCGCGTCTGGAGTATTGTGTCCAGTTCTGGGCCCCACAGTACAAGAGGGATATGAAGCTGCTGGAGAGAGTCCAGCGCAGGGCCACAAGGATGATCAGGGGCCTGGAACATCTGCCCTATGAGGAGAGGCTGAAGGAGCTGGGCCTGTTCAGCCTGGAGAAGAGAAGGCTGAGAGGGGACCTGATCAGTGACTATGAGTACCTCAAGGGAGGGAGTGAGGAGGATGGTGCTGGCCTCTTTTCAGTGGTGGCCACCGACAGAACTAGAGGTATTGGCCACAAACTGAAGCACCAAAAGTTCCACAGGAACTTAAGGAACAGAGCACTGGAACAGGCTGCCCAGAGAGGTTGTGGAGTCTCCTTCTCTGGAGATCTTCTAAACCTGCTTGGACGCAGTCTTGTGCCACGTGCTCTAGGTGATCCTGCGTGTGCAGGGGGCTTGGACTAGATGACCTCTAGAGGCCCCTTCCAACCTTAAGCATTCTGTGATTCTATGATTCTAAGATAACAATCAGCACCCACTGAACAGGGAGAGGAACATTATCTAGATTCAACAGTAACATGTAAACTTCAAAGAGACTTTTGAAACAAAAATGAAATTATCTTGATAAGATATAGAAGAAGCATGGATGTTTTTAACAGGGAACAGGTCTTAGAGGAGAAACAGCAGAAGTCAAATTCCAGTTTGACACTGCTAAATGTCACCCCACACTGGCATCACTAGGATTGTGATCCCGTAGCTAGCAGTGCCTCCAAGGGCTCAATACTGGCTCTAATTCTGCTCAGTTTATTCACCAATGACCTGGATGAAAGGATAGAGCACACCCACAGCAAGTTTGCTAATACACATCTGGGAGGAATGGCTGATATCCCAGAGGGCTGTCCTGCCATTCAAAGGGACCAAAACAGGCTGGAGAGTTCGGTAGAGGAACCTCATGAAGTTCAACAAAGGCAAGTGCGGAGTCCTGTCCCTGGGGAGGAACAGCCCTGTGGATCTGTACAGGCTCATCCTTGCCCCTGGCACTGCTGGTCTTATCAATACACATAAATATCTCAAAGGAGGATGCAAAGAGAACAGGGCCAGACTTTCCAATGGGGCCTAGTCATAGGACAGGAGGTAATGGGAAAAGTGAAAAACATGCACCATCAGAAGATGAGGAAAAGCTTCTTTTTTATGAAGGTGACTGAAGCTGATATGTTGTGTTCACCAAGCCATAGGGCTAAATACAAAGATTAACTAAAAGAGTTACTGTTGGATCCTTGCAGGCCAGGTGCAGGAGGGAATAAAAGCAACATATGAATTATGATTCATTCTGAGGTGGATATGAGTTTCTGGATTATAATCAAAGTTAGTTTTAAGGATGGAATTAGAATCTGGGTAGAGGATCCAGTTAGCAAACAAAGTTATGCAGTCTCTAGATTCACTGTTAACAGGTGTTCAAACGGGTCAAGTTCTTAAAGTATTTAATGCTGCTCCCGCCTTCATATTTTGAGATGTTAAGCCTCACAAGATGTACTCAGATACTTTTTGCACAGAAACTGCAAAAACTAGAGATACATTTTCTGCTCTATCCACCATGCCATGTATTATAATGTTGAAGGCAGGGTGAGGGCAAAGGCATGTAGTAAATTATGAGGGCATCTGGGTCACCAGTATTGAATAATTTTTGTATTACAATTAAGGCTCAGATAGTAGGAACTACAGATCTAAAACTTGAAGTATCCAGCAGCATTGGGCTATGATGAGGCCTGAAGATACAGAAATAGCTTCTTGGGAACCACTAAATTCACTCTGTAACACAAGAATATGATGACAACTGAAACTTGTAAAGAGATTTTTTAGTTCTTTTTGAATTGAATAAACTTAACCTGAAAGGTTTGGGTATGGTTCAGGACACCATATGGCATAAGGCCACAATTATAAATGGTTTTGAACAGTCTTAGTATTCTGCAAGCTATAGATAAATCTGAGTTTACGAGTATGATTATGTTTCTACAGAACAGTACACAAAAATATTTTTTCTATAGCCTACAAACCCTATGGGCTTAGAATAGATATAAAATAGGAAATAGTTTATTGTGAGCAAGGTATAAGCTTCTGAATTTAACTGAAGATCC